ACAGATAGCAAAGTGTAAGCATGCTTCCGGCTCTACACATCGCCATAAGGCAGCGACCGGTCTCCATCCCCAGCGCGTGTAGAAGAAGCACGGCGCGAAGAGCACACGTATCCGCAATGTCTTGTAGCTGGAACCTAAGCTGATGAACCCAAGTGCGCTCCAAGAAATTGCAAAAGTCGGAAGCATCCAAATCATCATCGGTTCCAGATGCAGGAGTGCAGGCGAATGGCGCCAATGAAACGGAACTAAAGAACCTGAGCACGACTGGCAGCAGAATTTGCCGTTGAAGGACCTCATGTGGTCCAGCCCGTCGAAGAGGCCCAGATTCTCCAGTAAAGAACAAAAAATTTGCATAGTCGCCACTGTGCCAATCAATTTCAGAGGTTATGTGCCCTGAGGTGGCACAAGAAGGTGCGGCAAATGAAAAAGCCAGAAAAGGACTGCCGCTGAAAAGCATAACCCACGGTACAGGCAGGAGCCCAAGCATGAGCTCAGCTGTAAATTGCACGCAAGGTGTATTCAAAAGGCCACCATACCAACAAGGAGGAAGAACAACATGCAATCCTGGAATGGACCAAGAAAAGGTCCCAGATGTCACCCCAACAAAGAAGCCAGTTTGCTCATACCCAAAGAGCAAAGCATCCCATTGATTGGACAGTATCCAAAGCCGGACTGGCTGCCTGACGCTTACGGTCAGCTTGCAAGACCTGCCATAGAAATCCATACAATCAGAGCTGTCATCCAGAAAGAAAAGGACAACATATTTGTGCCGTGGACCGAGCCCCAGATCGAACTCAACCACGTGGCACCAAAAGTCAAAGTGATGGGGTGGCTCCGTCGGCACATGACCGGGATCTGTACGCCCAAAGGCCCCAGAAACCCAGCCACCCCGTCGCCTACCGCCTGCATCGTAAAGAAACTGTGCCCAACAAAACACTTGCTTCGGCTGTTGTAGCCAGGGACTAAGGGATGGCTCCGTCGGCACATGACAGGGATCTGTAAGCCTCTCGGCTCCAGAAACCCTGCCACCCCGTTGCCCCTCAGTAAGCCCCGACTCAAGGCTGCAGCCAACAGCGCCACTCTTGTCACAAGGGCTGTTTAGGGGGTTTAGGGGTTTAGGGTTTAGGGATCCTAAACCCTAGGTCCGGGAGTTGAAGGGCTGTTTACCCTAAATCCTAAACCCCCCTCCCGGAAACTAACATGGAAACCCAAAAATGGCACTATAAAGACTACAGTCCTTCGAAAGGGGGGCTATATGGGTTTCCATGTTAGTTTGGGGGAGTGTAGATCCCTAAACCCTAAGTCCCTAAAACCCTAAGTCCCTAGAACCCCAAGTCCCTAAGCCTGAAATCCCTGAAGCCTGAGCCCTAAAGTTTATACCCTAAACCCTGAAACCCAAACCCTATCGAGTTTCCAAAATTGGGGGTCCCCTGCTTGGTTATCCCTGCAAGTTGGGGTCTAGGGTGGGGCTGACCGGGTCTCAGATTTGAGGTTTAAGGATTTAGGGATTTAGGGTTTAGGGATTTAGGGATTTAGGGATTTAGGGATTTCGGGTTTAGGGTTTTCAGGTTTAGGGAGTTTACCTTTTTTCAGAACCCGCATTCCCAAACCAAAGCCCTAAACCAAAACCCCCCCAACCTTCAGCCAGAATGTCTCGAACTTTTTTCAATGTTACCTCCCCCTCTAACCAGGGGGGCGGGGGGGGCCCTGTTCTTGAAAGACCCCGTCGGATTTGAGGATTCTGGAGATTGATTCAGCCTGCATTCTTTGCCCCAAGTGTCTTCAAAAATTGGCTGAATGAAACTCCTCAAGAGGTCGCCGAAGCAGATCATAGGGGGGCGTTATCCTCACCAAAGGAGTTGGAACATTAAATGGGATAAGGATTTGGGGTTAAACCCCAAACCCTAAAACCCTCAAACCCTAAAACCCTCAAACCCTAAGCCTTAAAACCCTAAGCCCTAAAACCCTGAGGGTTTCGAGTTTAGGGTTTAAGGCCATCCGCCCCAAAACCGGAAACACCGCAAGCCACACATGCGCTTGCCGCTGCTCAGGCGGTGCCAGAGATTCAGAGAACAAACTTGTCCAATACCGTTCTCCTCCTGAAGGCACAGGGTGTAGGGTGAAGGGTTTATACAGATTCTATAGGGTTCGGGTCGTGAGGTTTTGAGCGGTTTTGAGCGGTTTTGACCGGGTTTTGAGCGGGTTTTGAACAAGTTTCCGTTTTAACTTTTACCCTATACAATTTGTGTTTATCTGGGCTTGAGGGTTTAGGGTTTAGGGTGTAGGGTTTACGGTAGGAGTGCCGAAGAAGGGGGATACATCTGAGCTATAGTCTAAACTCCTTACGTAAAAGGGGTTACATAGGGGATTATATAGGGGACAAACCCCAAACCCTAAACCTTAAGAACCTCAAGCCAAAACCCTAGACCCTAAAAAACCTGAAGCCCTTAAACCTAAAGCCTCAACCTAAACCCTAAAACCTCAAGCCGAACCCTGAACCTCATGAATATATGGGCTATAGTCTAAACTCCTCAAAGGGCATTATATAGGGGACTATATACGGAACTACTATAAGGGTTATTAAGGGGGATACTAGGAGTTTAGACAATGGCTCATATGGGGCCTGGTGCTTATGTAGGTGCGCACTGGAGGATAGGATGCTAACCTGGTAAACCCTAGACTGTAAAGCCTAAACCTTACACTCTGAACGATTATGCTGGGATTTGCAGCGACCACACCCGACCTCACCCTAAATGGTGGTTTGTATATGTAATGGTACCTAAATGGCCTTTTTATTTTGAAAGAAGTGAAATTATTCTAAATTACCCTGTTTGGAACAGCTCCTCCTCAGAAAACCTACAGGCCGTCCCTATGAGAACCCTATACATTGGGTGCTGCCCCTGCCCAGCAACGGTTGGAGAATTAATAGAGTGGAATTATACGTAGCCGTTAATATTGCCTTACGTATAGACTGACACTAGATGGGGGCACTACCCAACCTAACCCTAAACCCCACACCCTAAACCTATGGGTGATCTGCTTGGGTTTGTTTCAGACATACCCAGCACACACGACCGCCTGCACATTATTAGTAGATGTTGGGTTTAGGGTTTAAGGTTACTGTTGGAGGACTTCCTGCGTTGCCAGGAAGCAAGAATCTATCATACGCAGGTCACTTTGGTCATGCATTGCGCCAAAATCACACGTGACCCTAAGCCCCAAAGCACATTAAGTACACGACTAGAGCCTTTTGGGTTTCGGTCTATGCGTTCATGCAGGGCTGTGTCCATCAAGTCTGTAAGCCAAGTTGTGCCTCTCAAACCAGGTCATACCCATAGCAGGAGTTTTTTCTAAACCCTAAGCCTGCTCCCAGTTCCTCAACTGGCCGACGTATCCTCCAAAGAGTTGCTAGAAATACCAATCCTCAGGGCCCAGTATACAAGAATCATCTGGGGTTTCCCAAAATTGGAGGGTTGTGGGTCGCAGTAACAAGGCCACATTGGGGTTTCCACCCCCTGTTGGTGAATCTGCCGTATACCTCGTGGAACTCCTACTTTCAATCATCACTTAGGTTCTGGGGAGTACATGATAGTTCTGCACTTTGGATTGCTGCGAGGAGGGTTTGGATGCCTTTTGGCTTGGATTATTTTTGGGCAACTCTACTCTAATGAGTCCGCCTAACAAAGCCAAGATAGTGGGATCCATTTTCAAGGAATCCAATGATCGGAAACCCAAACCGCAAGCCCGAACTCTTTTCTAACTTGCACAATCCGATATGGCAGGCGATGGGTATCATGGACATGCTTAGCTTCGACTTCATGGACTCTCCGTGCCTGTCCAAGACTTGCTGGTTCTTAGTATGGACGGAAGCAATGAAAGTTGGAAGAGACTACAGAGCTTAGACGTTGGTGCTGGTGCCACGTTTGTTTTACAACCTGGCAAAGCCACGAAAACTACTAGTCTCGATTTGAGGTTCAGGGTTTTGGTTTAGGATTTTGAACCGTTCGTTTTTTCGGTGCCGTTCATAGATATAAGTATAAGTATAAGTTCAACCATTGTAGAGCTTGATTGGCAATGGTTGGATGAACCAAGGGATCTTGCAGAGGTTACGGCCAGAGTTCGAATTCTCCTCTCAAGGCCCTCCGGCAATGGCAAGCGCGCAGATCCACACAAGAAATGGATAGGCATACCTCAAGCCCTTCAGTGTCATTCCTGGGGGAACATAATGTATGCATACATATTTAGGCAGGGCTTGGGGACTGGGGCATAGTGGAGAATGAGATGGAAAGGAAACATGAAAACACAACTGAACCAGGCTTGTAAAGAGGCTTCGTTCTGATTGTAATTTAGAAGCCTGAAGCTTGACCAAACTTTCGTGCCGTAATCCTTTACGTTTAGGGTCAGTGTTTAGTGCCGTAGGGTGAAAGCATCCTGGACCCCCCAACCCCTGCTCAACTTAGGTAGGCCCTTGCAGTATGGGTTTCTCTTCTTCTTCTTCTTCTTAGGGCAACACGATCTGGTTGCAACTCCCCTTCGTCCAAAGGGCGAAAACAACACCCTGGATACAAACCTGTCAGAAGGCAGCTGGTCGGACCCTAAA